ATTTGCAAGAACCAAAGCTTAAACTTGAGTATTTGATTCACTGATGATTGAATTACAAGGGATAGGCATAACTTGAGGTTATGAATCTCACAGTAGCTTGAGGCCACAAGTCTCTCATGTGTTTTCACTAAATTCTCGATAGTCTCTACTGTCCCCTAACTACAATACATATACTCAAGACTTAACTAGAACATGTGACATTAATTAACTAAAATAGAAACCCACAAAGGTTATGATTAAAGGAGGCTGCCTGTGATGTTATGGAACGGGTCAATAAGGTCAACAAAGCTATCGGACCAATTCAACCACCACTTTTGGTGTACTCCAGGCGCGCAAAACAGGGGCAGCAGCAAGGGTCAATTGTGAGAAGGAACAATGAACAACAGGACAAGGCCAATTAAGGGGAAGTTGAGGAAAGAAGGCAGCCTCCTTTAATCATAACCTTTGTGGGTTTCTATTTTAGTTAATTAATGTCACATGTTCTAGTTAAGTCTTGAGTATATGTATTGTAGTTAGGGGACAGTAGAGACTATCGAGAATTTAGTGAAAACACATGAGAGACTTGTGGCCTCAAGCTACTGTGAGATTCATAACCTCAAGTTATGCCTATCCCTTGTAATTCAATCATCAGTGAATCAAATACTCAAGTTTAAGCTTTGGTTCTTGCAAATTGTCTTAAATTATAATTGCGGTAAGTTAGTCTATTACACATAATTCATATTGGTATATGTATTTAATCCTGTTACATGAGTCTTGTTTATGGGTGAAAACCTGAATCATACATTTTGCTCCAGAATTTAAATGCTTTGCTAAACTACTTTTAGTTTTACCATGAATGATGAGGCTTGTGACAGTTCATGATTCTAGTATCTCAAGCACAACAGACTTCATTGCAGCAGTTAGATATAACTGTGTGACTGAGTGTATGGATAATTTGATTGTTACGTCCTATACAGAATTATCTATTGCAATTTGTACAGCAAAAACTTTCTTGGATATCTTTAGTGTCTTAAGACTTGCATGATGTTATTATTAGTCCTAGAATGGACTTTGTGGCTGAATTTAATAGAAAATTGTGGTAATTCAAGGAGCTCACTCACAAATCTAGACACAACTATTAGACTATAGCTATTGCACAACACTCAGTTTAGTCATTATGTGATGCTCCATGTTTCCCCCACTTCGCCTATGTGAGGACTAAAAGCCTAAAACACTTTGTTGTTTTGGGGCAAGTCACACCTCAAGACTCATGAAGCTACAAATTGCAGAAATATAGTTGAACTTGAACATAAGGCTTTCTCCTTCAATGCATTTTTATTTTTGGGGGGGTCAAGAATTAGTTGCTCTTAGTATCTTTGGTGATAATTTGCTGTCATATTGCTGTTTATTTGCACAGTTGCCTTAGATAAGCTCTTCTGCTGTGTTTCTGCATTATCTGTACATGCAGGTTGGTGAAGACGAGTTTGGGTACATGCTTGCTGATATTCTAAAGGAGAATAATGTGAACAATGAAGGAATGCGATTCGATCCCGGAGCACGAACTGCGCTAGCATTCGTGACATTGAGGAAAGACGGGGAGCGTGAATTTATGTTCTATCGTAATCCTAGTGCTGACATGCTGCTTCAGGAATCCGAGCTTGATTTTGAGCTTATTAGAAAGGTATTTAAAAAAAAAAAAACCCCTTTCTGATTAAATGTAGAGACCTTGCTATATATAGTGCATACAAGTACATCAAATTTTTTTGTTGAAAAGTTAGGACTTGTGAGCTTGAAGTGCATGGATTGCAGTACAGTACTGATGAGAATCACTGTGACCGATGCTATGAAACTAAAGCACAACATTGCATGCATGTTTAACTAAGGCTGAATCATTAAGTAATTTGTTTCCATGTTATTTTCTTGAGGACTATGATCAGAATCCAAAATTCTTCGGTGGAAACCGGAAATGATGGATTATTCTAACAAAGTAAGAAAACTGAATGTTGCATTTAGCTTTTCTGCTTTAAGATTAAGGATTTTATGTGATTTCAAGAAAACAAGCTATCTACTGACTAATACTACATTTACTTAACAATCAACAGGCAAAGATATTTCATTATGGGTCAATAAGCTTAATTACTGAACCATGCAAAACAGCTCACATTGCTGCTGCTAATGCCGCTAGAGATGCTGGCGTGCTGCTCTCATATGATCCCAACTTAAGGCTTCCATTATGGCCATCTGCAGAGAGTGCGCGCGAAGGGATCCTTAGCATTTGGGATACTGCAGATATTATCAAGGTTGGAGACCAACTGTGACCTCATGCTTAAATACTGTTTTATTTATAAAATTTAAAGGTAAAAGATGGCTCTGACAGTTCATTTGGGTATAGATAAGCGAGGAAGAGATTTCCTTTTTAACTCAAGGAGAAGATCCTTATGATGATAATGTTGTGCGTAAACTATACCATCAGAACCTCAAGCTACTGCTTGTGACCGAGGGAGCAGAAGGCTGTAGGTATTATACCAAGGTAAGACTTTCTAAAAGCAGAGAAAGAAAAGCAAAATAAACAAGAAAAACTATTGGTAAAACAGTGTATTTGTATGTGATATGTTTGCAGGAGTTTAGCGGTAGAATTGAGGGTTTGAAGGTAGAGGCTGTAGACACCACAGGTGCGGGTGATGCCTTTGTTGCTGGAATGCTATCCCAACTAGCTTCTGACACGAACTTGATTCAGGTAAGGTTCCGATACCATATATCTATTACTGAGAATTGTTAAAATGAATCCGGCCGCATGGTGGTGTAGACTGTAGAGCCTTGTGTGTGGGGTGAGGGTCAGGAAAAAAAAAAACAGTGGAATCAAGTCTAAGCAAAGTGCATTGAAGTGTAAAAGATGCCTGCCATGAGACAATATTATTATGTCACGCATATTTTGTGGTACTTTTGCAGGAAGAGGATCGCTTAAGAGACGCTCTACGATTTGCCAATGCCTGTGGTGCATTGACTGTTACAGAGCGAGGTGCGATTCCTGCTCTGCCAACTAGAGAAGCAGTGCTTAATGCAATGCTGAAGTCTGTGGCTTAAGATTATGGTTGAATCCATGTAACTTTTGTACCACTATTCCCTCATTTTTAGGCCATAATGATGCTTAATAATATTATTTGCAAGGTCAACTTTGGTTTAAATAATGGCCCTTGCATTATTGCATGTCGTGTATATTAGCGTGCCAAATATTAGTGTGGCTGCAATCTTAGGATTTGCCGGCAGTTTTCTTACATATTGTAATCTTGACTATTCTTCCAAACAATTGAGAGATGATTTGCAAACATTTTCCTTACCCTTGATGAGTTGTGAATGAAATGCTTCAATTTTATGTAGTTACACCGAAATTTTGCTAGATTTTTTTGTTTTTGTTTTTAAAAAAATTGTTCTCTTACATAAACTCTGTTTACGAAGTTTTTGTTAGAGATTCCCTGATAAACTGCTTCATACTTACGTTCATCAAATAAATGCTTAACGACCCTACTAATACCCATGAAAGAAAGAGAGAGCCATCATCCAGAATTACAGATGCATAATGGACTATAGACCCTGATTTGCTGTCATTTATGTCTGAACTTAAGGCTTATGGACTAATGTTCATTAAGGTAAGACGCAACCTAAGAGAAGTACAAACAAACCTGTTGATATGATGTTATCGTAATTTTTGTACTACGTATAAAAAATCTTCCTTATCCAAGATTACCAAAATTCTGTGGTAAATAAATCCATAACTACAAATAGGACTCTAGTTTTTGAGTCTTTAACTATTTTTAGCAACAATAATCAATATTAGATTCTAATTACAACCACATCGTCAACTCTAAGCTTAAGGCGATCCGATTAGTAAGCTAATTAATACTCTAAAACCAATGGAAGACCTCAATACTCTGAAATTAATAAACATCTATATATATTTAAAACAAATGTATATCTTCCAAGAACTTAGAAATTTTTAATCCAATAACTAAACTGGCCAAGAGGTTATTTTGTTTGCCATTAACATTGAAAATAAACATGGCTGCTGAGGATACACCTCAAGACATTTCTGATAGGGAGAGAATCTTCAAGCGTTTCGACACCAATGGTGATGGCAAAATATCATCCTCTGAGCTTGGTGACGCCCTCAAAACCCTCGGCTCAGTCACCGCTGATGAAGTTAGAAGGATGATGGCTGAAATCGATACTGATGGTGATGGTTTCATTTCGTTTGATGAGTTCACTGACTTTGCTCGGGCTAACCGTGGATTGGTTAAAGATGTTTCCAAGATCTTCTAGTTATTTAGCTATAAACATTACACTAATGAACATGGAATGGTGTCTTTGGCTCTTGTATTTTTTGTAGAAAATATGCTTTTTCTTTGGTAGAAATACAAGGACAAGGCACTAAAATCACATGAATATCTGTAGGTACATGCATGAATGTTTTAACATAGTTGTCGTATCATTTCTGTAATATTTTGATGAATTGTAAGGTTTCAATCTTTCGCATTATTTGATATGCAAGCAAGGAATTGAATCTACATGTGATCATGTGATTTCATGTCTAGTTGTAGGAATTTTTTTATCCTATGTTTCCGGAAGGTGTATGCTATATTGTAATAATTCTGAGTGACAAGCGCGATTTTCTGACTTAGAATCCATACTAAAACAGACCTATTCCTAAATTCACCAACCCGAAACAAACCTGACTTGGACTCACACAAGAACTTGTATGGAAAGTGTGAAAATGTAATTGTTTCGGCATACTTTTGTTCATAGGATTAAGGCTTTGTTGTTGTTGTATAGACGAAACAATAAAGTTTTATTCAATTAGGCTGCAAGGCAAATCAGACTACACAAACATTTATAATTCATTCAAACAATTCAGGAGCAATTTTCTGACTTTCTCATTTTTGATGTGGCTGATTCTAAAAGACTCGAGTCAAACAATAAGACTTCTTGAAAATAATATTTGAAATAAAAAACATGTTACTGAAATACATAGGTCAAGTGCATTGACATTTTATCAGAAATTTCTTGCATCAACACTGCAGCAGAGTTAATATTACAGATGTGAAATTGAAGTGTCAAAAAAAAAATATATATAGAACAGACTCAATCAATCTGAAATTCTGGACAAATTTCACAATGTTAAGTTTCTCAGTTCCCCAATCAACTTCCTAACGAGAAGCTCGATCCCTCTCGAGCAACACATTGAAAATAATTATGTACACACTGATCCTACTTCTATACAAAACATTTAGCATCCCCTGCTCCTATCACCCCTGATGAAAGAGCCTGACAATTTCTCTCAATAGTCAACTAACGGAGAACAATAAACAACGCTGATGTAGAAAATGGACAGCCATTCACACACAAACAAAAAAAGTTCACAGGACTTTCATTAGTGTCATCGACCATAAAGGAAATCATCATCTTCCAGCTCAGATGCTCCAAGCATAGCCAAAGCCAAATGAGACTTCATTTCACTTTTTGTTCGTTGTAATATTGGAGGAACATAACTTCTTCGACTGCCTAAACTTGCCTTACCCTTAACAAGGCAGCCTTCTCCTCTTAGCAGAATGATGGCTTCATTGATGCTTGGCCTACTAGATTCTTCACCGCTCACGCAGGCAGCTGCAGCACGTACCAATTGGGTTATAAGTTTTGAACTTTTAGGAGTAACTTTAGCTCGTGGGTCAAGCAAACTGTCAAATGCTGAGCCTCCCTGGTCCATTAGTGGCTTCGCCTGCAATAGCAAAAAACGATGATTTAGTACATTTTGATTCACACCTGAATACAGTAGCAGAACACAACATTGTGATCTTCAAAAAAAATTCACATTTACTCTAAAATTTTGAAATGCCTTCGTAAACAAAACTTCGATACATTCAGAAACACTAGTATAATTTTTTAGTATTCATGGATTTTGATACTCTTATTATCAAATAGAGCTGCATAATTGTAAAGATATGGTAGGTCCATTACGAAGGAGTCTCAAGGAAATTTTTGATATAAAAACAGAACATTTTCAAAAATTATCGATAAATGAACTAATGAGCCATGTCTTTGTCAAACTAATTATACACCGTACAGGCTGTTGGTGTTAGTCGCCATTATCCTCTACCAAAAAGTGGGGACTACCAAGAGTACTAACCATATTCATTGAAACTAAAAATCAGTTGATGGCCTCACTAGAGTTAATGCTATAACCCTCTTGCACATTTGTACTAAGGAAAATAAAAAGGATCAATCGATCTTAATCCAGAACTAGTCAAATACCACAGTCTCAGCTCTTCTGGTCAGCGTATACAACGAAAGCAAACCGGCAAATGTCATCATCAAAGTTAATGCTGTAACCTTCTTGGTGAATTGTTTGTTTTAGGATTATCTAAGGAGGACCAGATTATCTTAACACCTAGTCGAAAACTAGACAATTACTACCAATTTAGCTCATATTAGAGGCACTTAATGAAAGGAATACAAGATTGAAGCAGTAACATACCCATTGAACCAGGTTCTCTTCTCCGGATGGCCTTGATGATTCTATTGGTTTTCGGCCTGTTATAAGCTCTAAAAGGACAACTCCAAAAGCATAAACATCAGTTTTATCGGATACCTTCCCGTGTTGGAAGTACTCAGGAGCCAAATATCTGCAAAAAATCAGGATTCACTGAGTAAAGTAAAGAAAAAAGTAGAATTGCTGCACAGAAAACAGATGAAAAACCAATTTATTTCTTTTTCAAAATTGACAAACAATAATAGTTCTATTCATTTGTAAATCCATACCCAAATGTTCCTTTCACAGTTTTGCAAAGGAAAGGGACTGATGGTGCTGCAGTCCATGTTGCTAATCCGAAATCACATAGCTACAAAATTCATAAATTCAGTTTAGGCATCTTATCATATATTACAATCAAAGCATAACATTAAATCCCCGAAAAAAAAACCAGCAATTCACCTTTGGCCTTTTCTTGGAAGACAGAAGAATATTGGAGGGCTTTATATCTCTATGAACAATACATTTTTCAGTTCCATTATGTAGATATGCAATAGCTTCTGCAATTCCTACAGCAACTTTATACCTTGCAGAACATGAAAGCGACGCAAAACCCTTCCCACTCTTCTTCTTACCTGCAAATAACATCTCATATTTAAATTTTCCATCCAATATTTACACAACACCAATGAAAAATCTCATAAAACAACAAAGAATCGCGCTAGCTATACCGTGCAAATGTCGCTCTAGGCTTCCACTGGACACATATTTGTAAACCAAGAACAAGCCTTCCTCAGGATCAATACAAAATCCCAAAAGAGGAACGATGTTTGGATGTTCAAGAGAACTTGCAATCATCAACTCTCTACAAAAAGCCTTGGTATTCTCCTTATCCTCTTTATCTAACCTCTTAACTGCCACTGCTGTTCTCAAAAACCCAACTCTACCTCTAAATACATAACTCAATGCACCTCTGCCCAATACTCTACCTGATTTCACATGAAATATACACCAAAATCAATCCCAAATTAACAATTAATACTAAAAAAACAAAAAACAGAAAAGATTCAAACAAAACAAAAACAACCCATTCAATAAATTTAGAAAAATCATGAATTGTAAATTTTTTTTTTTAAAAAACAAAAAAGATAAAAACTTTTTGCAATTAATACAACAATCAACCAAAAAAACACAGAACCAAAGTAAAGCAACCCATATAATCAGCACAAAAACGAACAAAAACCCAGAAAAGAATGAACTGAATTAAAGCAAATCCATAATTTTTTTTTTTTAAAAAAAAAAAATTGAAATGATGAAAGCAAATGAGAAAAAACACATGAAAATACCTTCAGAGAAATTGCGGGTAGCAGAAAGAATTTCAGCAAAGCTAAACCTGATCAAAGAGTTAGCAACAGGTGAAATACTCTTCTCCAATGATTCAATCCTTCGCCATTTTAGCTCTTTGGAGTTGGAATCACTCGAATTATTATCCAAATTCACCATCAAAATAGTAGTGGAAGAGTTCAAATTAGCAGTTTTTAAGGAATCAAGTTCCTTTTGAGAACATAAACTGAACCTAAAAGAGGAGTGAACTGAGTGAGGTTCACAGTTTGCTAAATCACCACCAGATTCTGCAAGTAACCATGCTTTATTGTGCTCTGAATTACTCTTCTTTTGCCCTTCATTTTTGCCCATTTTTGGTACAAAACAACCAAACCCAAAATCCCAAATCATATTCATCAAAAAAGATTTAAACTTTAATTCATTGTAATTATCACAACAATCATCATCATCATTGTCAATAGTATCACTATAAACAGGGATTAAAGAGAGAGCATTTGAAGAATTTGTAAGAATTTGTTGGTTATCAGTGTAATCACATTGGGAAAACCCCATTTTAGATCTCAAAAAAGAATATACAAAAAACCCAGAAAAAAAATATAAAGAAGGATGAAAGAAAGATTGCTACTTTACTTGAAAGAGAGGAACAGAATACAACAGCTTTTGAGAAAGAGAGAGATTATTATGAGAAAATTTTTAAAGTATGTGAATAATATTATAAAAAAAAAATGAAATGTGAGTGATTAGAGTAAACCAAGATATTAATAATTAATAAAAATTGTTGGTTGATAAAGATTTAATTAAATGAAGAGGGGGTGAGGGGGGTGGGCTGTTGAAGATGCTTGATGTTGAGGAGAATGAAGACAATAAGCACCTACTTGGGACCGTTACTCCATTATTTGGATGGTAGTGAGGTTGGGTGATCGATTTATTAGGGGGTTTATAGTGTGCTTTCGAGGATTGATTAATCGACCTAAATAGAGGGTTTTTTTGGGATGGAAGAAGTCGTCCACGTATTGTTTTTTGGTAAGCATTTATGTTCGTCGTGTTTTAATTTTGGATTATGAGTTCATATTGGGTGAAATTTGTCTACTAATGATCTTTTAGGATATACTTCGTACTATGATCAAATCTTAAGGATTGGGATATTGTATGTCTAAAAGGAATCTAAATATATGGTAAAGACGTGTGTATATATCTCTAGAATTTGGATATTACTCATATTAGTCATAAATATTTAGATTGGACTTAACTACTTAAGTAACTATGTGGTGATAAGGTCCAATTTAAGAAAATAAAGTATAGAAAATTATAAGGTCTTTGACCCCTTTGCCTTGAAAATTTTTTCAATTTGACAATTTTGGTGTTATTTTGGTAACTAATTAAATTGATTTTTATCATTAAAAGTTTCATTTACTTATTAAAAGCGATTATACATTTATACCTAGTCAATGATGTTTTTTGCCCATTAATTAGATGTAAAAGTATAATATGGATTTATTATAAAATATTATATTTACTTAACAAAACTGGTTTTAATTAGAAAATAAAGGTGTGAATAGTTTCCATGTTGGAAAATCAAAATAAAATTATTGGTCAATGAGATTTGAAAAAGAGTGGGATAAAAGTGGTCTATATATATCTACGGATCTACCTAAGAAGAGAAAAGCAAAGAACAAGATATGAAAGGTTGTGACTTGTAAAAAAGATATGGGGATTTGGACGTTGGGATATGAAGATTAAAAAAGTAATAATAATACGATAATTAGTAGCCAAATTAAACAAGTATGATTACTAGTTTGGTGACCATCCGACACTTTTTCATTCTTCACCCCTTAGCAACTAAGCATGACAGATGAGATGTTTTATTTATAGCTTCGTTTCCTCACCACTTGAAATGCAAACTTTTTTAATACACAGTGTTTATTTGTTATTGCTATGTATATACTCTGTACTTCGGAAGTATTAAATACCCCGTATATTATGTAATTTATATTTTAAAAGTTTATGTAAAACAGATTTGCATTATTAAGCATCTATGAAAGTGTAGAGGGTATTTAATACGAAGTATGAGTACGTACTTCGAATCTATTTTTTAATTCTCATCCCCTTCTCGAGTTTAAATAAAAACATTCCTGTTAAACAGTTAAAGTAAGCTGATAAGAGTATAAACTACATTTAATGTTTTTCATCTTTCATTTATTCATTTTATATTTTTTTTTCTAGATCAATCTCTTTTGAGATTTAGGGTTGGGGTTGTTGTATTATTTTTGTTTGTTTATGGGACACAAGATTACAAACACTTTTGTACAAAACTTTTATGCTTTGAAAACTTCAAATGTTGGCTAAAATTGATGTGCAAAAGTGTGGTGAAGGTGTAAGTGTCATTTCTTAGAACACACGAATTGACTTTTACTTATATTCCTTAACCATAATTGTCATTACGGATTACTCCTATATCTAAATAAACTTAGGGTTTGCTACAAATTTATTTTTATAATTTAATTTTGTTATAATTTTTATTAATACACAATTAAAAATATTATGGTCAAAATGATGCATTTTTTTTTTTAAAAAAAAGGAGAATAAATTAATACAGTATAGGATAACTCGATATGGAAATAAATTAGGAAAATCAAACATCAAAATAGAAAGTGTAACAATTAGTATGGAGTTCTACTATATGAGCTACATGTATTAGACCATCTCCAATGGTGAGACTTGAGAGAGTTTTTTTAGGAAAGAGAGAGTATTTTTTGCAAAAGATACCAATAAGTTGGTATCTAAACTTAGCAACTCCAAAAGAAAGTTGTTAAGTTTAGATACTCAACTTTGAGTCTCATTTGACAAAAAGTGTGGGCCCTTTATCAATATTATAATATATTTTGTAATTTATTTAATTTTTTTTTTTTTTTTGAAAAACTTACAATATGGATTTGGTGGGCCATAAATTGAAAGTGACATTAATATACTTTAGAGAGTCTCACCATTGGAAGTTAGATTTCACATGAGTTACTAAATTGAGAAATGGGTTGGGTATCACCATTGGAGGTAAAAAACAACTCATTTTGTATTTCAATATTCAAAGTTCGGTCTCACCAATAGAGATAGGTCTAATATATGCATAACATGTGTTATTAATGCATTAAGTAATGGTATGACATGGGCAGATTTAGGAAAATGAGAAATAAAAAGTCACCAACAAATTAAAATTGGTTAGAATTGGATATACTACCTTCTTCTTCCTTTGGTTTTATTCAGCTTTCTGCCAAAACTAACGGTTTTTACTTTTTAGGTATGAACTTTCTAGTAATTGGTTATGGCTTCTTAATACGTAGTATTTTTCTTTTACAACATTAAAGGACTAACTTTAAGAATATAGCAACATACTCCGTATAATGCATAATCTAAGGAAAAAAATGAATAAAATAACAATGATGCAAAACAATCTAAATTCAGATTTAAGAAGTATGGAAGTTAATTGCACATGATCTTTTATGAAAATCATAAAGGGTATCACGCTATCACCTATCATTATTCATTACAGTAGCAGTTAATACTAGTATGGGTGCGGACCTTGTAGTGGACTAGTAGTCATTTGGAATGATTAGCACTATAGCAAGCTCTATGTGATTTGACGTAAAATATTTTTAACAGGAAATGATCTTTTACAAAAAATACTCGTACTTCGTAATGAAAAGAAAAAAAAAACACCCCACACATTTTCAATTGTATTTCACTTTTTTTTGGTTTTGAATAATAATAAGGAGAAAACGAAATTGTAAGAAAGAAGGTGGATTGGAGGCTTTAATTTGTAGGGCTAATTAGTTGATCATTTACATTGTTATCATCACTCAATTTGTAGGGCTTTCAAATGCTCAAGACAATGATAGCAATTTATGTAAGAAGCTATTGATGAGTGGTCGGTTGAAAATGGTAGTTATTCAATTGTAGTTTGATACTCTTCCTACTTTAAAACCCTGAGTAAAAGGGTCACCTAATTTTATAATGTACTTTAATTCGTATCAATCAATCAATCAATAACATAATACTAAAACAGACACCGGAAATGACACATGTCACTTAATGGTGTCGTTTTTTCCCTCTAAAAACCATTTTCCAAAAATAAATGTTATTCTAACTTTATTTTTCTTTTTATATCTTTTTAACTGACAGCTTATTTAAGACAATAAATTTATATATTATAATACCAATTAAAGATTCTTATTACTAATATTAATATTATTTGTTTAAAATGATTTTTTTTCCTGATCAATTACACTCATATGGATTTAATTTATAGTATGAAATATAAAAACATTTTTACGTTGTATTGCATCAAATTGACTTTAACACAGAAATCTATAACTATAACTATATATTATATTAAAGGAGAAACCAAGAATGACATGCGTCATCTCCTTTATTTTTAAAAAATTTCCCACCAAGATAATTTTTTTTTTCCAAAGCTTCTTAGAGCAAGATTAGCCCTGTGTGGTCTTAAGATTTTAATCCATTGCCACATTAGATTTTATATTAAATTTAATTATATTTTTTAATTTTTAATTATGTTAAGCCTCAATTAGATTTATCTCTTCATTCCTCAGACTTATTTTAGATTTCTTTAAAATCTTTATTAATTTTTTTTTTCCTTTTAACTTATATATTTCATTATACTTTTTTGAAATACATATATATTTTTAATATGAATATTCACATCGGTGTTACAAATTTCTAATCCAATTTAGATGTCATAGTTGAAAAATAATAGCAAAATAGATCAAGCAGAAAAATCAATTAAAATGGAACTACATGAAATTAAATGATTTAAAAATGCATGAAAATTAAAAATTACACATATTGCATTAAAATAATTGTAAATGTAAAATAAAATTGACTAATGTAAAATTGATTTGAATTTAAATAGTTGTATATGTAAAACATTTTTTTTGTTAAACAACGTACATAAAAAAAAATTTGAAGAAATGTTCATAGATTTAAATGTATTTAAAAAGTAATTTTTTTTTTTCTTCAAAACACTGTGTTTTGATGTATATAGGAAAAACACTGTGTATAGAGTGTAGAGTTGAGTCTTAAGTTGAGTATTGAGTTTTCAAGACTCCACTTCAGATTTTGTTAAGACTCAGCTTCTTAAATGCATAAAAAAACACAAGTTCTTGTCTTAAGACCAAAAACTTTAAAAATGATGATGTCATCCTAAGTCTTAAGACTTAGAGCTAATCTTGCTCTAATACTATGAAATTATATTTCCTTTACTATTTGATAATCATATTCCATTTATACACATTCAACAAAAATATTATTCTTTATTTAATACTATGCAATAATATTTTCTTACATATAACTATGTGACGTAATCTGTAATTATTGATATTGTAATACTCCCACGATTTTCTGTAATATGATATAATTTCATTTTTATTTTGTAATTCTGAATTTTTTATCTTATTTCGCATGCAATTAGATAATTTTTATAATTAAATATATTGTTAAACTAATAATAAATAGTGAAAATTACCGTGCATGGCACGAGACTTAATCTAGTTAATCTTATAATTCAAAATCTAAGGAACAAATGAATTTTTTGTGTGTTATTATTCTTCCCCTAATCACGTCATCAATGTATTAATTTTTGTGCATTAATAATATTATTGTGATTTGTAAAAATCATCCAATATTGAACCAATCAATTACCAGCGTCCAACACATCCATTATGCAAAATGAGATATGAATAAAGTACTCGTATAAGAATAAACTTTTTTTTTTTACGAGAGCAAAACATTCAATTAAATAGCAAAAGCGTCCATGAGTACATACGGGGTTACAATTGGAGGATCACAATGGTCCCATATTTGCTCAACATTAAAAGGAAGAAACTTTGCAAGATTGTGTGCTACTTCATTGCCCTCTCGCTTCACATGACTCCACTGCAAGCTATTATAGTGAACACTCTGAGCCATAGCATCGCATAACGCCGAGTCAAGATCGGTAAGGTGAGTTGCGCCCTTTGAGAGTCTAGATTAAACTTAATTAATATATTAAATTTAAATTTTACAAAAATACCTATGTTTTATATTTCATATGTACTTGATATATATATCAATTAACCTAAAACAACACATAAATCAATTGATAAATAAGTATCTAGTACAAGTGT